TTATTTATTGTAGAGATGAGGTCTTGCTGCCCAGGCGGGTCTCGAACCCGTGGGCCCAGGCAATCTACTCACCTCACCCTCCCAAAAGCGTGGGATCACAGGCTGAGCCACCAAGCCCGGCCACTAAGTAACTTTAAAGGCTATATTATAACCACACCTGGTTAGTTGGAATAGAAAACCACTGCTGGAGTGTAAAATGAGGCACCCTTTCTTATCTATTTGTTGTAGAGTTTACTGAGGTAATTTTAAAGTGTTTCATAAAGTCAGAAATTAGAGGGAATGAAGGGAATATGATGAACAGAGACATGTTTTTTGTTTCAGTCATAATATTTCTGTATTTAAAATCAATGCTTAATAAAATCTGATATGCCTTTAAAATTTTATATTAAAGACTCAAGTAAAAATATGATCTTTCATAGAACATACCACCAAAAGTGCTGAGTTATTTCATAAGTTATTTTCACACTGAAAACAGCATTCCAAAGTTGGGCTCAAGCCTAGGTGGACAAAGTCCACATTAACACAAACAAAATCAAGAGCAAAACTAAACTCAAACACTAAAAACACACCAATTTTAACATTCTAAAATTCCTTATATCTTACAAATAACATTTAGCATTACATATAGCTATTCAAGTATACGAACTATATGTAAATAGTCGAGTAGGAACATGTGATACAGTTTAATTGTTAAATGCACAATGAATGCTGTAACATACAGGCATAGCAACAATGGCACCAATGGACTGACAAAACTGTAAGGTCTCATTTATCCAGCACTAGCTTCAAAGAATGACATATTTCATATAAGATAGCTAATATTTACTTTAACAAATACCAAAGGTTATTCTCCCTTCTTCAGTAAAGCACCGTGTACTGTTCCTTCTTTCTTAGGATTGCTTTATGCATATTAGTAGCCTGCAGACATCCTCAGCACCATACAGAATGTCAAGTACATGACAGCAATACAACAGATGTATACTGAATTTAAATCAATGACTAAGCAGTACTATACAACATCTTGAGGGCCCAATGAAGCATAAATCTGTTTCCTTCTGTAACAAACCTCGAACTGCTCTAAGAGTTCTTAGTTCTAATTTTTATATAGTTTTGTCCACTCTTTCACAGATTGCCAGCTGTCACTTCCAGCTGTTGTCATGTGCATACCTTATTAACACCACTTTCATTTTAACTAGATACCCAAGCTTGTTAAACTGCATCTATAAACAAAAAGCCAATACACTCTGAATGTGGCCTCTTGCACCCCACAGGAAATGCAGAAAGAGAGCCTGAATACATGCTATGGTACATATTTTGACTGTTAGAGGACTTTTTTGTTTCCTCCTGGTTCTAAGGTATAATCCAGTTAAGTATTACTGTAAATTTGTTACAAAGAACACTAGTTCTTGTTTTGACACAAAAACTTTTCAAGATGAGTATTTTCCATTCTCAAATTGTAATAAAACCTATTTAGTTTTGATATGTGAAAATTGATCATACGAATTGTGTCATTCCTGTCTATTAGGGTCACACTCCCAGTGGGGCCTCTGGAATGTTAGGTCAGGCCCACGGGGTGTGAGTATGCCTGGTGTGCAATCCGATATCACATGAAAAATGCAAAGAATTACACAGAAGTTAGATTAGAAAATATAGTTTATTTAGAAAGTAAATTAGAGAGAGAAAGAAAGAGGAGATTCACCTCCCCAAGGTAGGGAAGGGGGCCAAAGCCAGGAAGTATGGCGACAGCCCTAGTTCAAAGAGCACATAGCCACACCAGAGTCTAGTAAGGCAATGGCAGAATGGCTGCTCATGACTGAGTGCTTTTAACCACTGGATGGGGAAAAGTTATTAAAGGTGATTGGGTGGTGATCTGCTCTGCCTCATTACAAAGGGGCAAGTAAGCACAGGTACTAATGTCAGGTGATGCACAGCAGCCAGATGGGTGGATTAGTCACATGATTGCTGCAATGGTGGTGGGCTAGATGGGAAACAAGGGAAGGGGTTTTTCCTGCAAGAGACTTGTCAGAGGTTGCAATTCACAAACTCCTTAGCAAAAAGGTGGTCTATTAACATTTCTATGGCTCTGTCCTTGTCTTGTATCTAATTGATAGAGATTTGCCTAGGGGGTAAGGTAGGCTGCCTCTTGGCCCCCCAGTAGAATGTCTGAACACTTCCTAAAACCTGCCTATTGGAAATTTTTCTATGTCTATCCTGTGCTAGAGTCAAAGTATGTCAGGGGCAAAGTCAAAGCAAAAATGGCTATGATAAGGCAAAAAGACTATGCCAAACTAAGTTTATCCTAGGTTTCTATAGGTAACTCCTTTCACTGTCATACCCAACTAAATGAGAGTGGAGGAAGGTCAGGGGGGAAAAGCACACAGGACACAACATTGCTCCATGAATGTAATTCTCTCTGCAAGTTGGGCTACTGAAACTGCCTATTATAACTGAAACCCATTTTATCTAACAGCTACTGAAACAACCTGCTTGACTCTGAAACTAGTTTTACCCACCACAATTACTCAGTAATCAAGAGCTTGCCATGTCCCCAAAACCTTACTAGTGTCAGTGAACTTCTTCAGAAAAACACATAACATTTATCCTTTTTATATAACCACCAACCTTCTTAGTTTCTTTGTATACACCAAAGACTAATGAGTTCACTTTATGCCCCAAACTGCAATTCTTCCTAATTAAAGCATTTTAAATTTAGAGATTTGCTCTTATTTTATTTGACTTGGACAGACATTATAAAGCAAAGCACTATGTATATGTAATTTGTATCCAGTAAATATTTTGCTGGTACAAAAATCTAAAACTGTATATAAAAATCACATAAAGGGTAATTTTTCTGATTTTATGATAGAAAAAAAGGTAAAAACAAGGAAGAAATGGCTTTACTGGTATCCTTCCCCATTTGAAAGTTATACAAAAACTACTAAAACAAATTTCTAGAGATAAAAATGACTGAAAAGAGCTCAATTTCCACATCACATTTTCAAGTCTCTCAATCAAAATCTATCATAAATTTCATCCAAAAAAGAATACATTAACATTGCATTATTTTCAAGTCATATTTCTTTCTGTTCCAACTAAGGGCTTCATGTTTTTACAAAGTATTTTTTGGCTCAAAATTATATTACCATATTGTAATTGTTCACTGCTTAAGAGCATTCCTGCTTTAAAGATTAAACAAGTCATTCAGCAATTAAGACCAGAGCAAAGTCTGGTTCCAAAAAAGAGTTAGTTACACAGCACTTACAGTCCAAAGTCTATTCATCTGTATAGAATACCTTATCCAGATATCTTAAGTTACCTAATACACTAGCAGCTATAAAACAATCTTTAAAATTCGAATGTCTTTTGTTCTAATAGTCTACTAATTAAATAGAATTATTAAATAATAATCAAATAGGCCAAAAAATGAAGCTACTAACCATAAAAGTTGTTTTTATTTAAAGATTTCTAGTGAACTATAAATGTAATTAAATAAAAGACATTGACAGAAAAAAAAATGATGTTGATTCTTTTTTTTCCTTTTATTTTTTTTTTTTTGAGACTAATTTTTTTTTTTCAAGTCAGAGTCTCACCCTGTCACCCAGGCTGGAGTGCAGTAGCACACATACGGCCACCGAAGTCTCAACCTGTTGGGCTCAGGCGTTCCTTCCATCTCAGCCTTCCAAGAAACTGGAACTACAGGCATGCGTCACCATGCCCTGCTAATTTTTTTATATACTGTAGACACGAGGTCTCACCATATTGCTCAGGCTGTCTGGAACCCATGGATTCAAGCAATCCTCTTGCCTCAGTCTCCCAAAGTGCTCAGATTACAGGCCTGAGCCACCACGCCTGGTTGATTCTTTTTTTTTCTTAAAGTGCTTTTATCTGCTTTGCTTTGACAAAAAATATAATTTCAAAAAGTATAATATAAACACAATTTATATTTCTTTGTTTCATAAAACATCCTATAAAGCAGACAAAAAAGTCTTCAATCTTTGGATTCACTATTTAACAACTGGAAATAAATTCCCGCCTGGGCAACTTGGCGAGACCTCATCTCTACAATAAAATCAAAAATGAGCCGGGCAAGGTAGCGTGCGCCTGTAGTTCCAGCTACTTGTAAGGCTGAGGTGGAAGGATCGCTGGAGCCCAGCTGGTCGAGGTTGCGGTAGCCAGGAGTACCCACTGCACTCCAGTCTGGGCGACAGATTGAGACTCCAACTAAAAAAAAAAAATTTCTCAAATTTATACGTCGGTCTGTGTGTATGTGTAGTCAAGCAAATTTGTTTATCTTAATAAGCAGTAATTCTTCATATAGAGGAAAATGTGATAAGAATAAACAGAATTGATAGAAACAGATAATATTTAACCTCTGTGGATTTTCCAGTTTTCTAAAAGTGTCAGGAAGATGCTTAGCCAGATCCATCACCTCCTCAGAAATTGAAGTCAGCTGTTTCTTTATATCCTCTGGGGGAAAAAAAATTCAATATTAATTTTCAAACCACAAAGCAGAGATATTCATTTAGCTACTTCATTAAATAGTACTAGAGCTCAGATTTTCATTTTTTTTCCTTAAATGAATTCCAACAAAAAGACTTCCTGTTCAATCCCCAAATCACCTCAGTCACTTCCTTTTCAAATTTTTGCTGTTTAAATTTTAAAATAAATTTCAAATGATCTGCAGTCATACATATTACAATGTAGTAGCTATAGACTAGGCAGAAAGAGAAGATATAAATGAGAATATGAACATATCTTCACTATTTCAAAATCAGAAATTAATATAACACTATGTGGGCAGTTATTAATAATACAATCTGGTAAACATAACCTTATCCAACAGTCACTACTCATCGCCCTCATTACCAGCCATCACCAAAATAAAATGCCTTTCTAGAGCACAGTGGCACACTCCTGTAATCCCAGCACTTTGGGAGGCTGAGGTGAGAGGACTGCTAGAGCACAGGAGTTTGAGACCAGCTTGAACAACACAGCAAGACCACATCTCTACAAAAAATTTAAAAAGTTAGCCAGGCTTGGGAGGTTGAGGCGGTAGGATCGCCTAAGCCCAAGAGGTTGAACCTATGGTGAGCTATGATCATGCCACTGCACTCCAACCTAGGTGACAAGAGAGTCCAATTTTTTTAAAAAGGCCTTTCTAATCATTCAGCGATCATCTCTCAAATTCTCAATTTCATTCTGTCTGGTACATCATTATCCATCAACAGCACAAAACCTGCCCTTCTTTCCCAAACCTTTCCCCTGCTTAGAATTTCATCACCACTTCTCTTGTCCTTCAAAAAGTTTAGCTTCTCTAAAACATATGATACAGAACTATTGATACATAACCTGTTATTCCAGATTACTACAGTTATCTTGTGATCTCAAAATAACATCCTTCCATTTACTGAAGACCTCGGTGCCTGGTTCATTAACTGTCTTTCCCTCCTGTAATGTTCATCTCCTTCTTCTCCCTCCTCCTCCTCTTCTTCCTTCTCTTCCCCCTCCTCTTCCTTCTTCTCCTCTTCTTCCTCCTCCTGTGATCATTCCTAGCAATTTCAACACCAAGAGATGTTCCATCCCCAAGTGTGGCCTTTTCAGTTCCTTGACCCTCCATTTCCAACATTTTTTTCCTCAACTGGTCTTAGCCACCCAACTCCATAGTAATACCCTTGACCTTGTAATAGCCAATAAAATCATCATTTGAATTTAAGCATGCCACCCTCTCAATACAAGTCTGCCTAGCTTTCTTTCCAGCATGCTTTCCCCAATCATTCTTTAACAATTTCAGAACCAAATTCATTGACCCTCCCACTTTTTCCTTACCCATTATCCTCTCCACACCCACTTCCCACCCTATCTTGCTTTACTTTCTTACCCATATTAATCATTCCTTTGTATGATTCTCAACTCTGCTGCTCTTTCTTCCTCTCCCTCCATAGTACTTACCTGGAAAAACTCCCACTCAAATCAAACCCAGTTTTTTTTTTGTTGTTTTGTTTTTATCTACTTGATGCCTATACACTCAAGCAGTCAAATATATGAAAATAAAATACAATTCATGGCACAGACTTCAAATGAACCCTCAGTACTGACTGCTAATTCTACGTGTCCCACTTTCCTACTCTCAAAGTGACTATATTTCACAACTTTTCCTTTCTCTTTGGGCCTCCACCACCCACTTGACACTCCTTTTACTCAGGAAACAACTTCACCTCTTACTTCACTAAGAAAATCTAAACAAAAACAAGAGAACTACCTCATCTTCCCACCCCACAATGTGCCATTCTGTCTTCATATCTCTACTCCCAGACACAGCAAAATACCTTGAAAGAGTTGTCTACACTCACTGTCTCTATTTTTCTGTTCCTGTTTTCTCCTAAACCAACTCCAACTAAGCTTTCACTCCAATTAATATAGCAAAACTGCTTTTGAAAAGGTCATTGATGGCCTTCCCACTGTTAAAACTAATTGTTAATGCTAAATCCTCATCTCTCTCAAACTCTCCAATGATTGAAACAGCTGACATGTTGGGAGCCAGCCATGGAGGCCCGCCTAGCGTTAAGGATCCAGGCAGGCTGCAGACCCTGAGACCACTAGAATGAGTTCAGGAGCTGAAGGCCCATTCCCTCTTCCCTTCTTTGCTGTTTGGCACCTTCCACTAGCAGGGACTTGGATGATCTAAGCATGAAAGTTCTGAGAGTACGACAGGCATAGCTTACTTTAGGAGTCCATTGTTCCCGTTTCTCACAGACTGCGGTTTCGTCATTAAACTTAACATAACTCAAACTCAGGTCACATTTGGGAGCCTTTAATATGGTACAAGCTTCTTTTAAGATTTAATAGTATATTTGTAGAATTAGT